CATAATGTTCTGTTATTGTAATTTAAGAAGGAGGAGGTGGTGGTGGTGGTGGGTACATAAAAGTAGGAACAAACTGAGGAATGTACATAACTCCACCTTGAAGAGTAGGGGGAGGGGGATAAGGAGGATAAGGATATAATGGCTGATTGTTGGAATTATCAGCTTCTTCAGTAGGAGGGGGGGGAGGAGGAGGAGGAGGAGGGTGGGTCCAGGTGGTTGTATCTTTTAATTTCTTGTATGAAGTCGGAGGAGCAAATTCACATGGTCTTTCTTCTCTCAATTCTTGTTTTCTCTTTCGAATAGGATCAATAACTAGATAATCATGCAATACATGTAGATTCATTACAATCACAATTATTATTATTATTATACATCACATACATGTATTACTATGCAGAGCTTTTTCTTACCTTTCCCTCTGTCCCAGGGTCTGACATGCTTAGCTCTCTCATCCTCCTCAGCTCTCTCTCTAGCTTTAGCAACTTCATTAGCTAATTTTACCTGCAAACTATCAGCATCTATAGACAATACACATCAAATGAAAAAATTAATAAAGAATTATTTATAATTCTACCTTTAGTCTCTTTCTCTTTCATTTTCTTCTCCCTTGACTCAAAATCAAAGTCAGCAATATCTATTGCAGGTTTCCCTCCATCATCGCCTCCTCCTTGCTTCAGTTTCCTCTGTCTAACTCGAGCTAGTTTTGCTTCAAGTATAGCTTGACGCTTTGCCTTCAACTGCTCACGTTTAGCACGTTTGTCAATAGTCTGAATAAAGAGAGATGAAGGAGAGATGAAGGAGAGAGAGTGAGAGAGAGAGAGAGTGAAAGAGAAGGGTCATAGTTGTTTTGTCTTAAAATTCCTAACTTACGTCATCTCGTAATTGATTTAAAGTTTTAAGTTGTGCCTGCCTTTTCTCTTCCTCCACAGAAAACGAGTAATAGCCAACGCCGTGAGATCTCACCTCTAAAACCAAACACAACAACAACAACAACAATAATAATGACAACAACAAATGTTTACCATTGTGTTGCACATTTTGGTAGTGAACTGGTCCAACCGGTTTGATTTCTTCAGGTTCGTCATGGCCTCCTGTTTCTCTAAAAGCGTTTCTCTCCCACTCGACTCTCTCCCTCTCTTGTCTCATATCAGCTGATAAGAGCTCTGGAGTTGGAGACCTACACAATCATAAATTTTTTTAATAATAATAACATCGCTATACTCTAGTGTGTTGTATTGTACCTTGATTTATCTCTCTTGGTATTTCTAGCACTCTCCATTTCTTTATCGAGTCTTTGCATTTCACTTAAATCTTTCTTCATGCAGCGCCTTGATCGACCAAGAGAATCAACGTATTCAACCCTAACACACAAAGAGAGAAAGAGAGAGAGGGAGATAGAGGAGGAGAGACAATATAAACGTCTTTCAATGAAGACAGTTTCTTCTTCTTACCATTCTTCATCACTGTTCTCTGCTTTCACTTCCTCATCTTTCTTCTCTTCTTTCTTATCACTGGCTGCACTACTAGTCTGTATAGATCCTTTCTTATCTTTATTTAACTAAAAAAAACAATACAAAAAAGGTATTACATGACAATAAGGATAATTTGAACATACGCATATAATAACAATAATAATAGCCGTACGTACTTGAACTAATTTCTTTTGAAAATCAACCATGTATCTCGGATCATCATCATCATCATCATCACTATCGTCACTTCCAGCTGCTAACCTGTCGTAAAGTTTCGCTTTAGCCTCAAGAGCAGCTCTAAATTATTATCAATTGCAAAATTAATTGAAAATAAACGATTAATAAATAATGTTTAAAGTACCTTGATTTAGCAAGAGTTGCTTCTTCCTCTGGAGTTAATTTAGAGGAGGAGGAGGAAGGGGCGGAGTTACGGCCTCCTTTTGACTGAGCACCTTTTTGTGGTTTTTTAGGATCCCGACGCCATATTGAGGCTGTCTAATAAAGTTGGGCATCAATAGGAATAGTGGGCATTAATAAGAACAATGTATTATCATACTACAATTTTGCTAGCATTTACTTTGCAAAAGCACACAAACAACTAATTACTTTGTCAGAGATCCTTTTATTCTGTGTGGTCTTTGATGTGCTGAGGTTACCTCCTAGTGCTGAATTCCTTGCTTCTTGTTGTTTCCGATATAAAGCAGCTTTCAAGTCAACTAGCTAATTAAAAGAACACACATAATCAACTATTGCCAGGATGTCTTACAGAAGCAGCATTGACGTGTATTTTCTTTTTGCTTGGAAAAGTTTCCTCATCAACCTCCATGTTTGAAAAAGGCGTGGTGTTTTTGCTAACCACGCCTATTAAACCCACGTGCTACACGTGCAAAACTTGTCACACAGACTCATCAAAAATATCCCATTATTTTAATTAAGATCAGGGCGTTCATTGAGAGTACACAGTATTGATACACTCAACTTTACCCTTTCAAAAATTAGTGATAATGGAAGATGCCAGGATGCCCTATGGGACACTAAAGCAGTGCTGTCCTTATAAAGGATACTTTTAGTAAAGGCTATTGTGGGTTGTATTTAATTGTATTCATTATGTCAGACTTTGTCACATCTAGCCACGTGCGTCCACGTGTGTAATATTCATATTTTAACCCCATGCGTCCTCATGAGTGTCTCTCTTCTCCCTTCATCTCATTCCGAGTTCCAGCTTAAAGATTACTGGGAGAAGTTCTTTCAGAAGAGAAAGGCTCCCTTTGAGTGGTATGGAGAGTATCTGGACCTCTGCCATATACTGCACAAGTACATTAAGGCGTCTAATACAATACTAGTCGTCGGTTGTGGTAACTCAAAACTCAGCGAAGACCTTTACGATGTTGGCTTTACAAGTATTGACAATATTGATATATCAGAGGTTGTTATAAAGCAAATGACGTCCAAAAACAGGACCAAGCGTCCAGAAATGACGTACACAGTAATGGACATATTTGAGATGACATACAATGACTCCACTTTTGATTGTGTTATAGATAAAGGTATGTATTTAATTTGCAAGTGTCAATGAGTATATATATTGTATTTCCTTAAATAAAAGCCCGGGCATCTATTTCCTAAAATGGTATTTGAACCTTGAACAAATTTTAAAAGTTAAAAAAAAACTTGGGCCCAGAGCGGGATTCGAACCAGTAACCTCACGCATTTGACTTCTGGAGCCTAAGGAAGTATCCACAAAGCATCTGAATTGATTGAGGGCTAGATTTACATATTTGTACTCCAATTGTATTGCTACCCCGGCTTTTATTTAAGGATATACGATACTCAAGTAGAAATACTTTGTATGCAAGATACTTGTCAACACAACTGACTATTTATTTCGTCATCATATAATAGATCGAAAAATTATTTCTAACATTTTCAGGTACATTAGATGCTGTATGTGTCAATAGTGGTCAGGAGACCATAGATAAAGTAAAGAATATGTTCAGTGAGATTAGTCGAGTTTTAAAATCCAATGGTCGCTACATTTGTATCAGTTTGTCTCAAGAGCATGTCCTGAATCAGCTGGTAGCCGCTCACAGTCAAGGATGGATCATTCGAGTTCATGTCGTTAAGTGTGTGGGTGAAAAAGTAGGTGTGGCTAGTGCTCTTCCTGTGTTTATTTTTGTAATGACGAAAATGGCTTCACCAGCTATACAAGTGAGGGATAATAATATAAAGTTTGTTTGATACATTTTAAAATTCATTTCAGATATTTGAGTACGTGAATGAAGATGAGAAGTGCATTAGATGTGAAGATGATGCTGGGATTATTGAATTTGTCAGAAACTGCCAACAATACGCACTAGTACTCCATCATCTTGGAAGGTAAATGCTATGTAGAAAGTTTGAGCTGTTTCCAGCAAATATTTTTGAGTTATGAGCATTTTAAAAAGTGAGCCAATTTTTGAAAAAAAGCCCATGGTTTTTCTAAAAAGGACCCCGAAGTCACCCCCAATTTTTGTTACATTTTCTAATACATATTGATGTCCTTATGCTATGTATAAAGTTTGAGCTGTTTTCAACAAGTAATTTTTGAGTTATGAGCATCAATTCCTCAAAAATGCCCTGTGCTATAGCTCATAAATGGCTTTGAAAACACACGCAATTTTATTATGATTGATGACTATTTAGACAACGGCTCTCTGAAAAGAATTATTGTTTATTAATAATTTGCATTTATTTTGATTTTTACAGCATGCATATGGAAGAGCAAGTTTGTCTGGACCTGTGGTCTGGTAGCAATAACATTGAGCCAAGGTTTACCCTTCGGGTAGTGGATCTGCCTAAAAAGAAAGCACTCAATGGACAGTTTGCAATATTTCTTGTACCTCAAGGAAGGTAACAATTAATAATGAAACTACTTTTAAACACATACTCACAGACTATTCTTTTTTATTTTTTACTTTGCATTTTAGAGAAACCAATTGGCTCTTTTCCAGCTCTGCCGGCTCGACTCAATTAGCTGAGTCAGCAGGATATGAGAGACTAGTGATAGTGACCCTTCATCGAGGCCACACCTACCAGAGCCTTGATAAAGTGAAGGAAGAAATATCGACCAAAGCAATGGAATTATCGCAAGACTCACTGCCAGACAGAATAAAAGTGAGACTATTATGACAAATTACTATTTAGCTGGTGATATTGAAGTAAACTATGCTATAGGGTTCATTTATAATGAACCCTTTCAAAAATTGTAATTCCAAAAATCTTGAAACATCATTCAGGTCATACTGACATGCAGTGAATGCAACTCTTTTAAGCACTGATATTTGTTCAAGCTATTGTGGGTTGCACAATAATGTGGTTACCATTCATGTACTTGTGTCAACTGTATGACGAAATTGTTTTTCTATATACATGTCATACACGTGTAAAAAAAAAGCTTTAAATATGTCTTTTGTTCTATGATGAAAATGTATTATGAGCCAAGTTAGTCTCTGTTAGTAATATTTCTAATTCTTTCTTTCTCAGTGCCCAGTTCTTTCATTAGCCGAAGGTGTTGGCTCTCGTACTGTTCTATTAGAGTCCAGTTCTTCGTCCAGTGGAGGGTTTGTGGTCGAGGAGAGTCAAGATGAAGAAGAAAGAGGTTTAGTACGTCGACTTGTATTTCTCGAGTCGCCTCATCTGGCTCAGACGGAAATATTAATGATAAATAAAAGTATGTAAAGATTAAATAGTTTCAGTTTAAATTTTAATGTCTGCAGGTGACGGTGCCAGTAAAAGGAAAGGTAAAAAGGGCAGACAGCACAAAAATGGCGGGAAACTCTTTGATTTCAGTGAATTGATGTTTCCTTATCACAAGCTAATGCTATCATCACTTGCTCTAATTGGGGGAGAAGAAGGAGGGAAGAGAGGAAGGAATCCAACTGGTGCTGCATTAGATATATTAATAGTAGGACTAGGAGGTGGGGCATTGCCAATGTTTATTAAGAAGCATATTCCAATGGTGAGCAACCCTCTTCAAAAAGAGTAGCATGAAATATATAATAATAATTATTATTATTATTATTATGTTTAGGTATGTCAAGATGTTGTTGATTTGGATGGCTCAATGATACAGGTAGCCATTGACTGGTTTGGACTGGAAGCAGATCAAATCGTAACTGGAGGAGAAGGAGAGAAGATCCTAGTCCACAGGGACAGAGGGAAACTTAATGTCATTCAAGGAGATGGTGTTGAACATATAATGTCACTATCAGATAGAAAACAGGGTAAGCTTTATATTAGTACAAGTACAGATGCCCTTCTCCTCTCTCTCTCTCCCTCCCTCCCTCCCTCCCCCCCTCTCTCTCTCTTTAAATAGCTAATACTCTATATCATGTGATTATCCTTGATGTTGATAATAAAGATGCTGGCTCTGGTCTAAGCAGTCCCCCTCTCTCATTCACTACTCCTCAGTTCCTGCAAGCTGCAAAATCTCTTCTGCATCCTAATGGCATGTAACATCATCAGAGAGTGTTCATTTTAAACCTCATTAATATTAGGTGTGTTTGTTACTAATCTGGTTGCAAGGAATAAAGACATTGAGGACTCAGTTTTGTCTAACGTATGCTCCTGTTTCTCTTGTACACTCAAGATCCCTGTCCCAGGCTATCATCATGTATTGCTCTGTACACTGGAGCAAAGGGAGTATATTAAAGGTAATTTATGACTGTCATGTGACATGCAAATGTTTATTATTCCTTAGGTAAGAAAGACACTAAATCTATGGCTGCTGCTACCAAAAGGAAAGGCTGTGTTCCTCTCGATTTTTCAAAGGCTCTACAATCAAAGTTGGACTCATTTGCTGCTTCCATAGGGAAGGAATGCTTAAGAGAGGACTTTATTGATTTGTATAAAGATGGATCATTGTATTATTAAGAAAATTCATTGATTTCCCACCAAAGCGCGGTCAAAATAATGCACACCCACTTGACTAGTTTCTATGGCAACTAGAATCCAGCAATAAAACAAAATGGCGGCTATACAAGAGTGAAGAAGACATGAGCAATCCGCAGGCTGAGAGCGTTATTCGTAACATTATACAAGAGATATGTGCTCAGTGCAGTGGTAAAGGACAGACTATCTCTGAAACATTGGCAGCATTCATAGTAATTACCAGAATAGTAATAAATTGAACTCTTCTCTCCTTTTTTTCTATAGGTCAAAGCTGCAGTCCTAGATCCTGAAAATGATTTTAACGTAGACAGGACACTAACAAAAGATGACGTTGGGAAATTAATAGCGGTACAGTATTGACTGTGTGGTGTTGTAATAAATATATTATCCATACAGAGTTGCATTAAAAGATTGATGGATTCTGGCTCGCCATCACTAGACACTATTAAAATGCAGGTCCATTTTGACATGAATTATTCAACAAGAGGTATTCAAATAAAAAAGGAAGGCTCTGATTCCTTTCCTCTCTTTTTAGATGAATTTCTTAAGGAGCATCATCGTGTACTAAACTCAAGACTGCAACCAGTGGTGAGAGATATCACTGATGCTAGAGCTAGGGGAAGGGATGAACTAGAGGGTAAAGAAGTTCATTTCTAAATATAATATATATAATGTACTGTCATTGCAGCTTTATATAGGAAGATTGTGTCTTATGTTTTATTAAGATCTGGTCTTGGATCCCCTAGTGATATTGGTGTTGTCAGAGAAGCTACTGGTAAATAGTCAATTTTTTCTAGGGTACCCCACAATGCATGCTAAGTGAGCTGACAAGCCTAATAATAGCATATGGCTTTTGGAGGAACTTTTAAAATTTATAAAAGTCCAGTTTTGATTAGTATTTGCTTAAATTTCTACAGAGCATAAGTTCATGTATGGTTATGATTTATTTATGCATCGGAAAAAAAATTATAAAAAGGGAGAAATCACTCCATGAAGTTTGACCTAACTTTACCATTTTTGAACAGCTTTAAAAATTCCTATAAAATTTAGTTTTTATTGGAACCAGCTCAAACTTTCTACACAACATAAGAACATGTATATGTACCAGGAAAAATTATAAAAATGAAGAATTCTCTTTTTTAATTTTTGGTGAAATTTGACTCGAGACCATGTGCTAAAGGCTGCAAAAGTCGTGGCAGCCATTTTGAAGTGGGGTGAATCCTACTTAGTAACGCTACCGCGTTACTAATAGTACAGGGACTTTTACCTGATTTTGGAGCAACTTTAAAAATTTGTAAAAAATCTAATTTTAATCAGAATCAGCTCAAACTTTCTACACAACATAAGAACATGTATAATGTATTAGAAAAATTGTAAAAATGGAGAATTCTCTCCTTTTCAATTTTGGCAAAATTTGGCCTGAGACCATGTGCTATAGTACAGGGACTTTTACCCGATTTTGGAGCAACTTAAAAAATTTATAAAAAATCCAATTTTAATCGGAATCAGCTCACAAAAAGGGGAACAAATATATGTACCAGGATAAATTATTAAAATGAAGAATTCTCTCCTATTCATTTTTGACGAAATTTGGCCAGTGACCCTATACTATAATAGTACAGGGACTTTGGCTGGATTTTGGAGCAACTTTAAAAATTCATAAACTTTCTGCACAACATAAAAACATGTATGCACTTTATTTTCTCCTTAGCTGCATTGCAAAGTGTTTTCCCTCAGACTGAGCTAGGAACTTTCATGGCTCTGACTCGTGAAGACAAGGAGAAGCAGCTGAAGGAATTAAGCTACATAGTGACAGGAATACGACTGTTTAATAGAGACTGTGGTAAAGGAGGAGAAGGAATTGATGACTGTAAGTAAAAAGAATTAAAAAAGAGAGTGAGAATGAGGTTATATTTACTTCTTTTAGTGCCTGAGATACTTAAAGATGCATTGAAAGTCACTAATAATAATCTTGGAACTGAATTAAAGAAGACTTTGAGGACAGCTTTCCACCTAACAGGTGACATATATACAGACACATTGATCACACTTATATACTAATGCATTTATGTATGCATGTACATATAGGTGTCATATTGAGTTTGTTGGAGCCTCTTCCGGCATCACCAGATGTACCACCTCCATTGAAGATGAAACAGTCCCTCATTAATGTCAGACAGCATGAATTCTTCTTAAAGATGCTAATGGTTAGATGCATGTACATGTACATGTACATAAAAATGTACATAGTTATTATTGTTTTAATTGCTATTGTTTCTTTGTCCCTCCAGCAAGACATTTCAGAATGCACGCAGCATGTGAATGACCTTGAAACTGAATTCCAAATGAAAATGCAGCAGCTACAGGAGACAGTGCAAGCTAAAACTGCCGTACCGACAGCACAAGTTTATGTAAGATGATCCCAGTAAAGCTTTCTCTCCCTTTATTTTTTTTCTTTTATTAGCCATTGTTTATAGCATTGGCTCGGTTGTGGTCTGGTTTTCAAGACGAGGTTGTCCTTCTCAGTGTATTGAGTAACATCATCACATCACTCTCTCCATTCACATATGTATATTAATATACCCCTTTCTATTTTATTGATAATGATACATTTTGCCAAATAGAATGCTACCAGTTTGACTGAGACTGATGAATTTACAGCTCTTTTAAAAGATGCCGATATTCTTACTGATGATGAAAGAAAGGAAAGAGTAGGTATCATCCACACAATAATTAATAATTATTATTCTTCTCTTTACAGTTGTCAGGTCCTGAGCATTGTATTGATCCAGATAAGAATCGCAGAGCTGAGTTTGTCTTCCCTGATACACTGAGAGATTTCGATCAGCTCCCGATAGAGTTTCAAGGATTTTGCGGCTATCATTTAACAGTCAATGACAGGTTCCTAGTACCTGCTGTCCCCAGTATTGGCCTATTGCAGTACAAGGATCGATTCTATGCTTTCTCATCTCGTGAGGCTGCTGATGTCTTTGCTAAATCACCCGAGCTGTTAGTACACACTTTTATTTTATAATTATTGTTATTTTACTGTTTTTTGAAAGGTATATTTCAGTTGCTGTTGAGTTGAGTAAGTGCTCTCCGGAGCTTATTCAACTCTTAAACATGAGTGTTCATTTTTCTGTTGGTACACCAGGCAGAAAGGTTAGTTTGTAATAGACCATGCAGTCACTATAAGGACATGGTGTGTATGTTGTGATGTATGTACTGTAGGTTGGTCAAGATGACATTATCAAGGCTCCTGTTACGAAATGTGACAGTGGGACACAAACGGACACACACTTCATGGAATCTAACATTGTCAAGTCTTATGAATGGAATGAGTGGGAATTGAGACGCAAAGCCCTCAAACTAGTGAGAACTCCTGAATCAATTTACCTGTACCAGTAGACGTGTACATGTACATGTACATGATTCTAGATTGAAGGCATCTGTGTATATTTATGTGTAGTTGTTATTATAATTATGTGTATGTACATGTAGTTAGAGTTTTTACTTGATGTCTTTCTTTATAGGCTAATCTTCGTCAAAGGCTTACACATTCTGTTCAAACAAATCTGAGTAATTTCAAAATGGATAACTCGACTCAAGTCTACATTCTAAAGTATTTTAACTATTATAACTATAAATAATAGCCAGTATGCTTTATTCTTTTTGTATTTATTTTCATTGCAGAGCTCAACTTACACAGACCAAGAGAGAGGATGCATCAAGTGTTCCTAAACCAGTTACTTATATTGCTGGTCTTAGAGGACTCCAGTCTACCTCACCAGTGAAAGTTGATCTTACTCTACCAGTTGACACTCATAATAACATTACATCATAAAAATACACTTAAAATACTTCATTAAATAATACATCAATGAGAATTTATTGCTGATTTTTTGCATCATGAAGTTGCATGATTATAATAGCTAAAAGTATTAACTAGCTATAACTAACTTTTAAAAATAGAACTAACTTATAATAATGGGCGTGAATCGATTGCGGCCCCGTCGTTTTTCCGGCAAAGAGATAAGAGATGGATGTCACAGGAGCAAGATCATACCAGTTGGAATTGCTGGACTCTGCGATAGAGAAAAACACCATTGTATTGCTAGGGACGGGCGCCGGGAAGACCTTCATTGCTGTCCTTCTCATTAAACAATTCTCTCACGAGATACTGGACTCTTTTAGGGATAACCCTAACTCCAAGAGAACCATATTCCTAGTCACCACTGGTAACTATAACATTCACAATTATATTACTTTATTTCACTTATCAAAAAAAAATCAACCCCATTCTACTGCCTGTAAACTATTATGCATGTAAAAGTAAGCATGTAGATCTACACTATCTTATGATGAAATATTTTTATATTTACTGTCTCTTCTCTTTCTTTCTCCTCCTCCTCCAGTTGCATTAGTAACTCAGCAAGCTAACTACATTAGAACACACATAGACCTTAATGTCGGGACTTATTACGGGGAGATGGGCGTTGATGCCTGGCGTCTCACAAAATGGAACTCTGAGCTGGAGTGTAACCACATTCTTGTGATGACACGTCAGATCTTCCTTGATATGCTGAGTCATGGTTTCATCTCAATGTCACGCGTTAACTTGATCATATTTGATGAGTGTCATCACGCAGTGAAGAATGACCCCTACGTTCAAATAATGAAGCATTACAATGACGAGAGATATATGTGTAACAAGCCCCATATATTGGGTCTGACTGCCTCTATTATCAGCGGCAAGTGTAAACCAGATAAACTCGAAGAAAGAATCAGGAAGCTTGAGGCTACCCTTAATGCTAGAGTTGAGACTGCTACGGATTTGGCAGAAGTTGCTAAATATGCCACCAACCCTCAGGAAAGCCTCGTAACATATGGAGCTACTTCTAATCAGCATCATTCTGAACTCACTGTGCGTCTAAAGTCGGTCATATCTGAAACATTGAAATTTATGTATCAAGCTCCACAGTCTAGTAGAGCAGGCACTGTCCCAAGTAGATTGCAGTGCTATCTTGAAGAGTGCATATATGTCATGGAGAATATCAGTATCACCAGTGCAGTAGAGGCTGTGAGACTTATAGAGACAGAGATCAAAGATATGCTAGATGAAGGAGACGCTGTAGGTGAATGGGATATCACATTATGTCATCTCTTGCTCTTAAAATTGTCAATATTTTCAAGCCAGTGCAATGAGCTGCTTTTTGATGGTGTGAATGACCACAGTCCTAAATTTTCAAAGCTTTTAGAAATCCTCTTAAACCTAAGAAGCAGCCAGGCTGAAGATTTTTGTGGCATCGTATTTGTAGAGCAAAGAATGACGGCAATGTGTCTCTCACAGATAATTACAGAAATAAAGTTACCAGGGATAAGGTGTAGCTTCATTGTTGGCCATGCCTCGTCGTCCGGTAAGATTATGGAGAAGAAGGTTAGTGGAAGTGGAGGTATGAACGCAAAGAAGCAACAAGAGGTTCTGAAGAAATTCCGCTCTGGAACACTTAACTTACTCATAGCAACAAGCGTTGTCGAGGAAGGACTGGACGTGAGGAAGTGCAACGTTGTGATTCGCTACGACTTTCCAAAGACGTTTCAATCGCACGTACAATCGAAAGGAAGAGCCCGTGCCAAAGACTCAAGATATTTGGTACTGATTGACCAAACACAAGAAAGCAAGTGTACGTGTGATATAAAAGAGTATGCTAAACTGGAGGAAATGTTGGCCTCTCTTTGTCATAATCGCGAGTCACCGGATGAGGATGAGGTTTCACGTCAGCTCATGCACCTCATGAAACCATATCAACCATACGGACCATCGGGACCTTCACTTCCTATTGATAGCAGCTTATCACTACTACACAGGTGAGCATTAGTGATTATCATTATTGTTACTAAAACATTAAAGAACATGTAAAAACCAAAAATATTGAGAGAAGCAGAGAGGGAGAGCCCAGGGATGATAATAATATACTGAGGAAGAATAACACTGATAGTGCTATTTTTATAGTACTAAGGAGGGATAGTACTACCAAGAGTATAATACCTACAGGTATAATAATAGCTTGAGGTATTATTTACTCTTGGTGCTACTAATATTATTTTTTATTAATTTATTACATGTATGTGTATGATGCATGCTCTCTCTTTCTATTATCAGGTATTGTCAAAAGTTACCTGGAGATCAGTACACAGTAATGGCACCTGATTTTAAGCTAGAACCAGTTGATGATGCAATATGTCAGCTTGATGGTAGACGTTATGAGACACTCTTTATGTGCACTGTATACTTACCAACTTGTTCACCAGTCAGATCAGCACAGGTAAAGAAAGAGAAAGAGAGGGGAGAGAGAGAGAGGGAGAGAGAGAGAGAAGGAGAGAGAGAGAGGGAGAGAGAGAGAGAGGGAGAGAGAGAGAGAGGGAGAGAGAGAGGGAGAGAGAGAGAGAGAGAGAGAGAGAGAGAGAGAGAGAGAGAGAGAGAGGGAGAGAGAGAGGGAGAGAGAGAGAGAGAGAGAGAGAGAGAGAGAGAGAGAGAGAGAGAGAGAGAGAGAGAGAGAGAGAGAGAGAGAGAGAGAGAGAGAGAGAGAGA